TGGTGTGTGTGTGGTGTGGTGTGTGGTGTGTGTGTGGTGTGTGTGTGTGGTGTGCTGTGTGTGTGTGTGTGTGGTGTGGTGTGTGTGTGTGGTGTGTGTGGTGTGGTGTGTGTGTGTGTGTGGTGTGGTGTGTGTGTGGTGTGGTGTGTGTGTGTGGTGTGTGTGTGGTGTGTGTGTGGGTGTGGTGTGGGTGTGGTGTGGGGTGTGTGTGTGTGTGGTGTGTTATGTGTGTGTGTGGTGTGTGTGTGGTGTGTGTGTGGGTGTGGTGTGGGTGTGGTGTGGGGTGTGTGTGTGTGTGGTGTGTTATGTGTGTGTGTGGTGTGTGTGTGGTGTGTGTGTGGGTGTGGTGTGGGTGTGGTGTGGGGTGTGTGTGTGTGTGGTGTGTTATGTGTGTGTGTGGTGTGTGTGTGGTGTGTGTGTGGGTGTGGTGTGGGTGTGGTGTGGGGTGTGTGTGTGTGTGGTGTGTTATGTGTGTGTGTGGTGTGTGTGTGGTGTGTGTGTGGGTGTGGTGTGGGTGTGGTGTGGGGTGTGTGTGTGTGTGGTGTGTTATGTGTGTGTGTGGTGTGTGTGTGGTGTGTGTGTGGGTGTGGTGTGGGTGTGGTGTGGGGTGTGTGTGTGTGTGGTGTGTTATGTGTGTGTGTGGTGTGTGTGTGGTGTGTGTGTGGGTGTGGTGTGGGTGTGGTGTGGGGTGTGTGTGTGTGTGGTGTGTTATGTGTGTGTGTGGTGTGTGTGTGGTGTGTGTGTGGTGAGGTGTGTGTGTGGTGAGGTGTGTGTGTGGGGTGGGTGTGGGGGGGGGGGGGGGGGGGGGGGGGGGGTTGTGTTGGGTGTTGTGTGTGTGTGTTGTGGTGTGTGTGTGTGTGTGGTGTGGTATGTGTGTGTGTGGTGTGTGTGTGGTGTGGTGTGTGTGTGTGTAGTGTGGTATGTGTGTGTGTGTGTGTGGTGTGTGTGTGGTGTGGTATGGTGTGTGTGTGTGTGGTGTGTGTGTGGTGTGTGTGTGGTGTGGTGTGTGGGGGGGGGGGGGGGGGGGTGGGTGGGGGGTGAGGTGTGTGTGTGGTGGTGGCGGGGTGGGGGGGGGTGGGCGTGGGGGGGGTGGGGCGGGGGGGGGGGGGGGTGGGTGGGGGGTGAGGTGTGTGTGTGGTGGTGGCGGGGTGGGGGGGGGTGGGCGTGGGGGGGGTGGGGCGGGGGGGGGGGGGGGTGGGTGGGGGGTGAGGTGTGTGTGTGGTGGTGGCGGGGTGGGGGGGGGTGGGCGTGGGGGGGGTGGGGCGGGGGGGGGGGGGGGTGTGTGTGTGTGGTGTGGTGTGTGTGTGTGGTGTGTGTGTGGTGTGGTATGTGTGTGTGGTGTGTGTGTGGTGTGGTGTGTGTGTGTGTGTAGTGTGGTGTGTGTGTGTGGTGTGTGTGTGGTGTGTGTGTGTGGTGTGTGTGGTGTGTGTGGTGTGGTATGTGTGTGTGGGGTGTGTGTGGTGTGGGGTGTGTGGTGTGGTGTGTGTGTGTGGAGGGTGTGTGGTGTGGTATGTGTGTGTGGGGTGTGTGTGGTGTGGGGTGTGTGGTGTGGTGTGTGTGTGTGGAGGGTGTGTGGTGTGGTATGTGTGTGTGGGGTGTGTGTGGTGTGGGGTGTGTGGTGTGGTGTGTGTGTGTGGAGGGTGTGTGGTGTGGTATGTGTGTGTGGGGTGTGTGTGGTGTGGGGTGTGTGGTGTGGTGTGTGTGTGTGGAGGGTGTGTGGTGTGGTATGTGTGTGTGGGGTGTGTGTGGTGTGGGGTGTGTGGTGTGGTGTGTGTGTGTGGAGGGTGTGTGGTGTGGTATGTGTGTGTGGGGTGTGTGTGGTGTGGGGTGTGTGGTGTGGTGTGTGTGTGTGGAGGGTGTGTGGTGTGGTATGTGTGTGTGGGGTGTGTGTGGTGTGGGGTGTGTGGTGTGGTGTGTGTGTGTGGAGGGTGTGTGGTGTGGTATGTGTGTGTGGGGTGTGTGTGGTGTGGGGTGTGTGGTGTGGTGTGTGTGTGTGGAGGGTGTGTGGTGTGGTATGTGTGTGTGGGGTGTGTGTGGTGTGGGGTGTGTGGTGTGGTGTGTGTGTGTGGAGGGTGTGTGGTGTGGTATGTGTGTGTGGGGTGTGTGTGGTGTGGGGTGTGTGGTGTGGTGTGTGTGTGTGGAGGGTGTGTGGTGTGGTATGTGTGTGTGGGGTGTGTGTGGTGTGGGGTGTGTGGTGTGGTGTGTGTGTGTGGAGGGTGTGTGGTGTGGTATGTGTGTGTGGGGTGTGTGTGGTGTGGGGTGTGTGGTGTGGTGTGTGTGTGTGGAGGGTGTGTGGTGTGGTATGTGTGTGTGGGGTGTGTGTGGTGTGGGGTGTGTGGTGTGGTGTGTGTGTGTGGAGGGTGTGTGGTGTGGTATGTGTGTGTGGGGTGTGTGTGGTGTGGGGTGTGTGGTGTGGTGTGTGTGTGTGGAGGGTGTGTGGTGTGGTATGTGTGTGTGGGGTGTGTGTGGTGTGGGGTGTGTGGTGTGGTGTGTGTGTGTGGAGGGTGTGTGGTGTGGTATGTGTGTGTGGGGTGTGTGTGGTGTGGGGTGTGTGGTGTGGTGTGTGTGTGTGGAGGGTGTGTGGTGTGGTATGTGTGTGTGGGGTGTGTGTGGTGTGGGGTGTGTGGTGTGGTGTGTGTGTGTGGAGGGTGTGTGGTGTGGTATGTGTGTGTGGGGTGTGTGTGGTGTGGGGTGTGTGGTGTGGTGTGTGTGTGTGGAGGGTGTGTGGTGTGGTATGTGTGTGTGGGGTGTGTGTGGTGTGGGGTGTGTGGTGTGGTGTGTGTGTGTGGAGGGTGTGTGGTGTGGTATGTGTGTGTGGGGTGTGTGTGGTGTGGGGTGTGTGGTGTGGTGTGTGTGTGTGGAGGGTGTGTGGTGTGGTATGTGTGTGTGTGTGGTGTGGTGTGTTTGTGTGTGTGTTGGGTGTGTGTGGTGTGTGTGGTGTGGTGTGTGTGTGGTGTGTGTGTGTGTGTGGTGAATTGCTAAGATAAATATTCATTGTATAAATGCATGGAGCTTTCATAGAATAAAAAAATGAACTGCACATTTCTTCATACTCAGTATACACACAGAGACATCAAGTATTTGGTCTACAAAGTTGTTTAAGAATATGGGCATGTTCATCCAGCAGCTGGTGAAGCAGAAGCAGACACCCACAGCTAAACACTGAACTGGTGGTGTGGTGTGTGTGTGTGTGGTGTGGTGTGGTGTGGTGTGTGTGTGGTGTGGGTGTGTGTGGTGTGTGTGTGGTGTGTGTGTGTGTGGGGGGGGGGGGGGGGGGGGGGGGGGGGGGGGGGGGGGGGGGGGGGGGGGGGGGGGGGGGGGGGGGGGGGGGGGGGGGGGGGGGGGGGGGGGGGGGGGGGGGGGGGGGGGGGGGGGGGGGGGGGGGGGGGGGGGGGGGGGGGGGGGGGGGGGGGGGGGGGGGGGGGGGGGGGGGGGGGGGGGGGGGGGGGGGGGGGGGGGGGGGGGGGGGGGGGGGGGGGGGGGGGGGGGGGGGGGGGGGGGGGGGGGGGGGGGGGGGGGGGGGGGGGGGGGGGGGGGGGGGGGGGGGGGGGGGGGGGGGGGGGGGGGGGGGGGGGGGGGGGGGGGGGGGGGGGGGGGGGGGGGGGGGGGGGGGGGGGGGGGGGGGGGGGGGGGGGGGGGGGGGGGGGGGGGGGGGGGGGGGGGGGGGGGGGGGGGGGGGGGGGGGGGGGGGGGGTGGGGGGTGTGTGTGTGGTGTGGTGTGTGGTGTGTGTGTGTGTGTGTGGTGTGTGTGTGCATGTGTAAGATGGGAGGGGTGCTACAGGAAGATTGAGATGTTGCATACAATAATGGAGGAAAAACTTACAGCTGCAAATCCAATTTCTAGATATGAAATCAAGTGCCCCGAATTAAGATGATGGATATTTGCAAAGCAAGGGTTACTGGACTTGAATGCAGCAGAAGTGTGCAGAGAGCACAGAGGAAGATGGCTAGGTAGAGACGCATCTGTGGACACCAGTAAATTCCAGTGGGAGGTGCAAATAAAATGGGACTCTCTAAAAGAGTAAAGGAAA